TCAGATCTATATGAAATTTAAATTGAACCATATCGGAATAAACCCTTTCGAACATACATAAATAAAATAAAAAAAGCCCTGTGGTGTCGTGGGACACCCGATAGGAACGAAGTTGTAACGATCGAGTAAAACTGATTCGGCACATTTTAATTACAACGCCATCTATGAAAGCGGCTATTACCTACATATTTTTCAGTTGGTTTCTAATTAAAACAATTTATACATTGGTAAAATCTCCTTGAGAAATGATTTCCTATCTATTCGATAGATGGCGCTGAATGACTGACATAAAAAGATAGAAATGAAAATATCTGGCTTGCTTTCTATAAGAGAGAGAGAGACAGACAGAGAAACATGCGACGCCGCACAGCTTACAATAGCAAAAAGTGTCGTGACCAATTTTCGTAAGATTTTTTTCCGTCTAGCCCCCTTTCACAACGCGCGATAAGGAACTTCGTTCCAAAAACATTCGAATTAATAACCTCCTCCTTTTTGAAGTCGGTTAAAAAAATGGTAACACAGTAGTCACTAAGTACATGACTTTTCTCGCCAACACACGTTACAGAACTCAGAGATTTCTGTCTTAAAATTTATCATCATAAAAAGGAAATAAGAAATCTAGAACAGTTTTCTTTGTAGGCGGAATTTTTTGCCCGGCTGAAAAATGAAGACATACACTCAAACAATGGCGGAAAGCGCCCGAAAAAAGAGGTTTACTGTTTTAAAAATAAAAAGTTGCAAGCAAAGAGAACGGTTGTAACATTGTAGTCTTACATCTCTTCAAGTAATTCGTGTAAGTTTTTACTGAATAAAATTTAATAAATCATACAGCTGTCTTTTGTGTAGTGTAGTTTAGTCCATAAAAGAAAGTGTCAAATTTGTATTTATTATTAATAATATGTAGGTAGGTAATGACATTTTATTTATTTATTTATTATAATAAGTACAACCACACTGTATATATTACACAATTCACGCTACATTCAGTTGGTGGGTAATTATTCTGATATATACAACAATTACGGTGTACATAACATTAATAACAATATCAGTACAGTGAGATAAAATATGGATCCAGTGGAACAGTTACTAGAAATTTTGTTTAAAAAGGAAACACTAAAAATAGCAGCAATAGCTAATAAAAAAAAAGTTGATTACTAAATATAAATATTGAACTAAAAAAAGAACATAAGTGGTTTCTAAAAACTACTACGAGTACAAGTAGGCAATAACTTTGATTTTAAACTGGTAAGCGCATGTGGAAAATGGGACCATTTAATGAATTAGCTGTACACTAGTGGTCAATTGTAAGATTCGGCCACGACGTAAGCAATGTTGTGTCAAAAGTTTGATTCATTATTAATGATATATCATTAATGAAGAATAAAAATTTGTGTGAGACCAGTAGTGTACAGCTAATTAATTAAATGGTCGTATGTCATTACCTTAATGTAAAGCTAAAATAAATCATACCGTTCAAACATCAAAAGTTGATCATATTTCAATCCACATGGTCTTATAATCCGTTCGTATAGACCGTACGTGAAAGTAAGTGTGGCGGCTTCCACATACATTGAAACAAAAACATACTCCAATGCCATCTAACGAAGACACACCGAACTGCTGATTAACTAGTAATCCTGTATCGCGATATCAAAAGTTCTAACGTCGATTAGCATAAATATAAAACTTCTCAACATCAAATGCCGCCTGGCATGATCCCTCGTCTAGTCGGAGGATCCTGATTTTGTGTTGGAGGAATATGACACCTATTCCATCGACCCATTTTTAGTTTCATTGTATGCGGAAGTCGCCACTGAGAGTTCCCTACATATAGAAAAATAACTTTGCTTAAGCTTCTATTGAATACAAATAACAGAGATGTCATTCTATGATCTTAGGTATTTTTAAAGACTGCTCATAAATCTGCTATAGCCCCTTGTTTATTAAATTGTTTTTTATTTAATAAACATAGCCAATGTTGCGTATGCATATTAAAAATGCAATAACAATATTATTTAATACATTCATCCAAGTATTCAGTTTCATTATGAGGTATTCTGGAGCTGACATCATCAGTAAATTACGAATGAACTCAAACAGCCGACCGGCCGTGCCAATTAGCCTCGTTACGGCTTTTAATATCATTATACTCTCTGTGGGTTCAAGTCGACAGGATTCTGCTGTAAGTTTCAAACATATTTCTGTCCACGTTGTCGTTGAGTTTTTTTTTCTGGTTTATTTATTTATATAACTAAATGCACAAGTTGTACACAGGCGGACTTAATGCCCAGGGCATTCTCTGCCAGTCGGTGCCAACGATGCGGTATTTGCAAGAGAAAACAGAGAATTTGGAATTATTTATATTAAATTTATTAGGTAATTTAAGATAAATCTAAGTTACATATATACACTATAAATAAAATACTATATTCATTACTACATATATGCATAGAGGTCCCAAGTATACACATACAATACATAAACATACACATATATAAATACATAAATATCAAAACACACAGGCTAGGTACTAGCGTTGTGACCTTTCTGCCAACTCAGTTTGAAGAAGATCTTGTACTTTTTTCTTGAACGTAAAGCGGTTAGTGGACATCCTGATTTCAACTGGGAGCGCATCCCAAAGAAGAACTGACTGTACATATATCATTCTGATAAAATAAAGAAAATTTTCTTTAATTTCTACTCGTAGTAGGAGGGAACTAGTAGTAAGGCGTTTTAATAGAGGTTTTTTGATTGCTAAAAAAGGATAAACCTTATTAAAGATTTAGGGTCCTTGAAAAAATTTTCTTATTAAGAAAAGAAGTAGGTGTGCTTGAATCGAATATACCATAGTCATAACGGTTCTTACAAATATCGGAGTGTCGGAGTGTCACCACCCCAGTGTCGTAAGAGCCGACTAAGGAAGCAAACTATGTAGGACAACAGCACTGCAAAGAAAACGAAAACTTGACATAAACTCGCGTGGTATAGTAGGCCAAAACTTCCTTTCTAAGGAGAAGCCTATGTCTAGCAGCAGACTATTAAAGGCTGTTGATGTGAAGGCTAAATTAATTAGTTCCCATCGCTTAGAGGCTGCTTGTTCTGAAATAAATGTGACTCATAACCCAAGTGTAGGGCGAACTTATATTATTTTGATGACAGATACCGTAGACATTATTTAGGATTATAGGATAATAAAGTTCGTAAAGATTAATAAAAATGTCTTAGTAATATTAGTAGTTATGGGACGGTGAGAAGTGAGAGCATAATTCTAAGGTATGTTTTGTAAAGGTTTTGTATGACTTTGTGGCGTATTTCTTTTTTAACACGCTTTTATTAGCTTTGTATATTCTTATTCTTCTTTTATATGTATGTGTGTATGTAACAGAATCTTCGAACGTGATTTTGACCCACTTCAAAACGTTGAATTGAATTGAAACTTCGCACATAAATTTAGGCATCAATTTATCCTGATTTGGATCTTCAGAATTAACGGCTTTTTCGCGCGATTGCGTCATAGTGCGATCCCTATCTCCCCCTACCATAGCAATTTATCTCCCACCAGAAGTCGAAGAATATGTCGGCGGCTCATACCGCCTTCTATTCTTCGCTCGGGATCGATTCGTTCATACGCCCACGCGGGGTAGTCTTCCATCGTGTGCTTGCCCAGCCGGCTGCGCGGTGCTAGCATTCGATTAATTCAGTGAGTATCCGAGTCAGTCGGTAGGTAACGGAACCTTTCTCCCTACCGCTGCACCAGTGGCTTTCGATGAACGTTCCGCCGCATTTCGTGTTCGTCATGCTCTTCCCCACTTTCACCACGGCGGATCGCGGACTGTCGTCGCTTCCAAAGAAATGGTGCGGTATCCCCGTACGATCCGAATGGTCCCTACCCGCTGCGCTTGATTAAGCTTAGCTCAACAGCGGGAGGAGGCCGATAGGCGTTTGGGCCAAATCGGTGCTCCGTAGAGGGCCATGGAGCCTATCACCGCACAGTATAGGCGGCGGACTTCCTCCCGCGGGCAAAACTGCACTTTGACTGCACGGATGGCGTAGTGGTTTAAGCGGTCGCCACGCCGCTTCCTACTGAGCTGAGTGTTGAGGGTTCGACCCCTACACGACACTTTGTGCGATCCACAAATTGTTGTTCTGAGTCTGGGTGTTCTTTGTGCCCGTTTCATGTATGTTTGTAAAGTCCCTCGCGACACAGCATTTATTCCTAGTGCGGGAGTTGTCTTTAAAAAAGCCTCTGTAGGGAGCCCGTCAAAGGAATGAAGACTTAAGGTGAACGAGAGACGTTTTGAATAACAATAATAATTTATAGTAAGTAAATCCTGTGCCATGGTAACCACACTGCTAATAAATATGTATATTTTAAAATTTCATCTAGTATCAGAATAAAATGTTTGGGAATCAACCCACGATATCTGATTTAGATATCAGGGTCATCAACCCCTAGACCAACAAGCCAGTCAGATGAATGAGTAATAATAATAAATGAATGATAATCTGAATGAAAAAAGTCTGTAAATACAAAAATGAATTATCTCGTACAGGAGCATCGATAATGAACGGCTTGACCAATTTTGCTAAATTCTAATGTGTTAATTACGTTTTCAAAACGAGTTTTATATTTAAAAAAATTAACTTTCCTGAAAGGGACTGCCTTCTAGCAAGGTCTTCTATTGTGCAATTTGTTTATGAATAAGTATAATGTGAATCTACTTAAAAATATTGGCTTGGCAGTAAGAGTATTATTTTATAAAAGAAAACAACAAAACGATTCCTGTGCTTAGTCTTTATGATAAATGTTCAATACCCAAAAATAAATATTTCTTCATCAACTGTTAATGATTTTCATATTCAAAATTACATTATTAATTAGTCACGTTTGTAAAGAAAAGCAAACAATCGATTCTATCCTCATTAATTGTATACAAATAAGAGAATCAACCTTTTTCAATGCCTCGATTTTATACCTAATTGCTATAACACAAAGTTTAAACTTTAACCAAGGACTTTCCAACGTTATCACCTTTCAGCATAGCAATGAATGTATCTGGCAGTACTTCGAAACCATTTGCGACGGACTCTTTCACTTTAATGGCACCTTTTTCTATCCAGTGGCGAATGTGTTGTAAGGCCGCGCTTTGTTGCGACCAATCCCATTGTGCAAAGCTAAAAGACTGAATCTTAACTGAGCCAGGTAAAGCCGGCTTCTTGTTAGCCAGCGATTTCCCGTACGTGCTTATGGAACCACACTCTGCGACGCGGCCTTCCGGATTCATACATTTTAGAATCGTCATAGCTAACTCTCCGCCAACGTTGTCAAAATAACAATCTATCCCTTCCACAGTCGATCGTATCGTTCCCATTATATCTTTTTCCTTTTTATAGTTAAACGCATGGTCGAAATTTAGTTCTTCAAGCAACATTTGCACTTTTTCGTCGGTTCCAGCGAATCCAATGACTGTGGCGCCCTTTATTTTTGCTATTTGGCCGGCTATTGAACCGACGGCTCCAGCCGCACTTGTTACGCATACCACTTCACCTTTTTTCGGCTTGCATATTTCCACCATGCCGAGGTAAGCTGTCATACCGGGCATTCCTAGCGCTCCAAGTGAAAGAGACAGGGGTAAGTTCCCAATTTGAGGCTGATAAGGTTTTAAACTAAATATGTCGTCGGGATTACCGTTCAGGACTGTGTATTCACGCCATCCAGAATGTGAAACTACGTACACATTCTCCGGATATTCGGAGTTCTGGCTTTCGACAACTTTGCCGACTTGAAAGCCAAATTGTTCATAAGGCACCTTTCGACGATGGGCAAAAGATCGCATGTATGGATCCACGCTTATGTACACGGCTTTGACAAGAAATTCACCTGGACCGAGTGTTGGTACATTCTCATGGGCTATTTCGAAATCGTTGAGGGTTGGCAGATAATTTTCAAAGGCCTTTATAACGTTATATTTTACTAATCTCATTTTGTTCTGCTGTAAATTTAACATAAAAACGTTTCACTAGAAATGTAGGGCCAAATATATATTGAGTATCTAACAATTTTGTTGTTATGTCATTATAGTAAAGAACAAGTACGAAATATTGAAGTGCGACTCGTGACAGCGCTGAGAGCGGACTGTCACTCAAGGCTGTCAACCGTAATTCCCGAATTGGTGTTCCGAATCTTACTTCGGGTGCTCTAAATAAAATGACAAAATGCTTCGTTAATGTGTTGGTATTATTAATGGTTGTCTTTAACATGTTCGAACTTCGTTCACTTTTGTGAATGACATAGTTGTATAAATAAAGTGACATAGTTGTATATAAACTGATTATAAAATGATTTCAACTTGTGTGTCAATATTTTACATACACAGAGACGAATCGTATCACCGAAATTTAATTCAATTAATTAATAGTATCTAAAGGTAAAGAAAAAAGATTTGGTTCTTTTTTAGTTGCGCCTATATAGTTTGAGAATATAACACATTCTTAATTCCGCGTCACTATTTTTAAGGCGTTAGTATTTTTTTTTAAAAGATAACTGCCGCACTAGGAATATATCCTTTTCGCGGGACTTTACAAACATACAAGAAAGGGACATAAAGAATATCCAGACTCAGAACGAGAATTTGTGGATCACACAAAGTGTCGTCCCATGTGGGGATCGAACCCACAACACTCAGCGTGTTAGGAAGCGGCGTGGCGACCGCTTAAACCACTACGCCATCCGTAAAGTCTTTAAAAAAGTATGTGTTTTAATGATACGTATCTAACGAACATGAAGTGGAGGCACAAAGTAAAGAGAGGAGTTGGTGTTAGCTTTCAAGGATTAAGAATTAAAATAGTTCAGTGAAGAGTGGACCGTACATCAACTGTTGACTGAACTATTTTATAAAATGGGTGAATAAGTGAAGGTCATAAACGCTCTTCATGTTATCTGTATTATACGCAAACATAACATATTGATAAGATAAGACCTTTTTTGCGACTTCTAATTTGACATCCGTTAAGGACTCGTGAAGCGTGCCGGCGATGTCACGCGACTTCGTTCGCACCGACTCGAAACGACTGGATATAACGTATAGAACTAAACGGCTCAGTACACAGTACAGACTTAATAGCTGAAGGTCGTAACCGCCCGTCCTTTTGTGATCAAAAACATACTATTAACTTTAAATAGGTTATTAAACTGTGAATTGATTGGTTGATCGGTTGAAGTCGCTCATAGCAGGTGGCTAACCTGCACGCTGCACATTTTTAATAGCTGAAAGTCGATGCGAGTCGGTGCGACCAAAGTCGCGCGATATAACTTTCACGCTACACGAGTCCTAAACCTATAACAGTTGCTTTTAGTTGTATCTTGTTTCTTTTCTTATATATAAAATTCTCGTGTCACAATGTTCGTTCCCGTACTCCTCCGAAACGGCTTGACCGATTCTCATGAAATTTTGTGTGCACATCGGGTAGGTCTGAGAATCTGCCAACATCTATTTTTTATACCCCTAAATGGTAAGGGTGACCCATCCCTAATTTTTTTTGTTTTGCAACACAACGTTTGCCGGGTCAGCTAGTATATATATATATATATCTCTTATATATAGTTTTATATATTAATAACTTATAAAAGTAGTAGTTAACGCAAAAAAGTTCAATGAATGAATTTTAAATCTGAAGAAGTATTTTCAGGATATGCAATTAAACATTAATAGGATATTAACAAAAAATATATACGACCGTAGTGCTTTGTGTAACCCGTTGTGATTCCCGCTCAAGTCAACATTTGTATGCATGAACTTTTAATGTTTATTTTGGTCTGGGTGTTTCTATGTATATGAGTAGTGCCGAAAAATTGCCGTTTTGTATGCAATAAGTGAAAGTACTTATTTTTTCAAACTTTTTTATTTCTGTTATTCGAAGTAGTCACCCATGCAATCGACGCATCTTTGCCAACGCATTGACAGTTTATTGATGCCCTTCTTGTAAAAATCAGCTGGACGGGAGGCAACAATCTCTTCAAAGGCATTTTGTACTGCCTCTCGGGAATTGATTTTTTTACCCACTAAAAAGTTCCGCCATACTCACCAGACCTTGCACCTACCGACTATTACTTTTTCCAAAATTTAGACAACTTTTTACCCGTCCAGCTGATTTTTACAAGAAGGGCATCAATAAACTGCCAATGCGTTGGCAAAGATGCGTCGATTGCATAAGTGATTACCTCGAATAACAGAAATAAAAAAGTTTGAAAAAAGAAGTACTTTCACTTATTGCATACAAAACTTCAATTTCATAGCTAAAGACCTAATATGTATGTATTTACAAAAAAAGTATATATGTATTTATATTAGTTATCTAGCACCCATAGTTCAAGCTCTGCTTATTTTGGGACTAAATGGCGTTGTGTGAATGTGGTAGAATATTATTATTATACGCCTCTACTATCATTAGGGGATGAAACATGTATGTGTTTATATGTTATCAGATCTTTACTTTAAAGTTATAATAAGTGTTGAAAATCGTACCTATATCTGGTTTCAAGTATGACAAAAAGCGAAAATTCAAAAATTCAAAAAAAAAGACCGTCATATATATATAACTATGTCGGGGTCTATTTTAAGTGGACATAGATTCTATCTGTCCTTTCAAAGGGACAACATTCAGTGTGAACCCAACCTTATCTAAGTAGGTCCGGCATTTTATAACAAGGAAATTGTGTTCAGGAACCTTAATATACAAAGATTTAAAGTGGAAAAGGGCCCAAGTATAGCAAGGTTACCGAGAGTTAAGTCTTTACGGAATGATGAGATGAAATAAGCAGACCCGATAGAACCCAAGCATTATTTCCAATTCGTTGGCTTGAGTGTACAGAGCTATAACTACAATTTAATGTTGGCCAGGTGTTTGGTAGATACGTTTTCATAGTTTTTTAACGAAGCAAAAGAAAGACATAATATTATTAATTTCATATAACACAGCATACAAATATAAAAGTTAAGGAATAACATATACAAGAAATAATAATAAACCAAGTAAGGTTTGATAAACACTTTAACAGGGCAACATTTTTCAATGTGTCATTCTTTCATACCACTGACAGATTTGACATAACACGTCAACGCGCCACATATCCAACCACGTGGTTGTAAAATGTTACTTATCTATACAAATAAATAAAATTGGAGTGTCTGTTTGTAATATTAAAATAACCGCTTTTTACTAAATGCATATGTATGTTTACACGGTACATACGCCAAAATAACATTTTTTACAATTTTTGTCTGTCTGTCTGTCTGTTTGTTCCGGGTAATCTCTGGAACGGCTGGACCGATTTCGACGGGACTTTCACTGGAAGATAGCTGATGACATAAGGAGTAACTTAGGCGTTGCCCGCGGTTATAACAACAAACGCGGGTAACACCAAAAAGTGTGTACAATAAAAAGCTTGTAGTTGTATTAAAAATGTGATTTCAAATAACGTTCTGTGAATATTATTTCATGTATGTTGGGTGAATATGAATTCAGCATGAACAGCAATCCGAGTTAGTTTTCTTTGAGTAAAGAGTATCATACATTTTGGTATTAGGGGTGACTGATTTTTAGTAGAATATTTTTCTTTTTAATCTTTTCTTTTTCGTACTTTATTCCGATTTTTTTTTGTGCAAAAAGGCGTGGCTTCATTTTGGTTGTATTTTTTTATGTTTGTTAGCTCAGAACTCAGAATTAATGAACCATTTTTTTTTGAGATGATCTACTTTATTTTTATGTCATTAAAATCTTAAAAACAAAACGCCACCTGTAAGGACAAGTATGTAATATCCAATACAAAGAACTGATTCTAAAACCATACAATGTTTTCATACCCGACGGGATTGGTCTCAGAAAGCTATATACACACATATGTATATAACTTCCTAAGACTTAAACACGCTTAAGAAAGCTCGGACTATACCGCAACAGTCTATTCGAGTTCTAGGTGAGCGACCATGACCTTATCGTGTTATTGCTAGCGTTCTCGAATCTATCTGTACAAACAATAAAAATAGTTGGCAATAGCTGTCATTTCATACGTCTAAGCAAACCCCTTGGGGGTTATAACTGAATTGAACAGTAGAAAGTAATTTTAGATTATAAAAAAAGCGTAGGGAGTTTGACATCATCATTATTTCATTAACAGCCTTTAATAGTCCACTGCTGGACATAGGCCCTCTCCTTAGAAAGGAGGTTTTGGCCTACTATACCACGCTGGCCCGACGGGTTGGTATAGGGTTTGTTTCAAGTTTTCCATCTCCTTGCAGTGATGTTGTCTTGCAGAGTTTCCTCCCGTAGTTGGCTCTTACGCCACCCATGGGAGGAATAGCACCTCTATTCGTCACACACTATCTATGTTTTCCTTATCCGTCACCATACGTACGTAATTTATGTTGTAGGTTTGTAGTTTATTTTAATTATTACTATTTCGCTTGTGTAATTTTTTTGTGAATTAAATTTTTGTCCACATTTGCACATGCAAAGGCTTTATTTAACTTTAATATATACTTTGTATGGTAGTTCAAATTCTATATATATATAGTCATATTAACAAAAGTTATTTTGTATTTCGCTCTGCATTTGTAATTTTTGAGTTGCATGGTACACCCTCAAAAAAGCATTTCAACTAATATTATACATGCGAAAATTTACTTTATTTTAATGTACTACTGAACCGATCATAACCAAACTTTGCATACACGTTGGTGGAGGAACACAAAAGGACCTAGGGTACTCCTAGAGGTTTCCTCTAGAAAAAAAGGGCAGTTCCCAAGGGATAGGCAAAATAAGTCTTACAAGCTACTTAGACCATAAATAAAAACGGAGGTCCCTTGCGGAAACACGTCACGTTTTTCTTGTACGCTTGTCTATATCCTACATTATTGGCCCCGGCTCCGAAGGTCCCTAAAAATTGAACGCTGTAAGAAATCCTCAGGGACAGAAAATTGGTTTTTGATGAATTAAGGACCTAAAGAAATTATGAACCTTCTTAATTTTTTGCGTCACATTCAGTTTAACAGTTGCTCGTAGTTACATGTTTTGGAGAAAAAAGTACATTTAGTGCCATCCCTTGGTAAAAATGAACAATAGGTTTACAAAAATAAGATTGTATATACATGTATATTTGAATTGTATAGGTATTGATTTCAAGTCAGTTTCCAGGACCATCCTCATTTGCGTCAAAGTTTGAAAGTTACTAAAATATGTTAAAACGACATAATAAATTATCTATTTTCTTAAAAATCGTATTAGTGACCAGAAGAAATAAGGTCAAATTACTATAAAACTATTTTTAGTTTTATTAGTATATTTTCTTATAAGGTCAAGGTAATCAGCTATCGAGTTAGTTGAGCTCTTCGTGAATAGTAGTTCTATTCACGAAGAGCTGTCTCGGTTTTTAACCATAAAGTTGGAGAATTGAATGAACATTTAAAAATTTGGTTATTTCTTTATTTTAGGTGTATCAAAGTACATATCCAAATTATCTATACAATTTTGCCATTTTGATGGCAGTTGGTTTATCACTATACTGTAGAAGCCTTCTGCACGAGAGGCGACAAAGTCAGCGAAAGCTTTTTGTGCTGCATTTCGGGTGTTGAATTTTTCCCCACTCAAAAAATTGACTTGAATTTGAAAAAAGTAGAAATCTATTGGGGAAACGTTTGCCGAGTATAGTGGATGACGAAGAGCTTCCAGCTGTAACTATTGTAGCTTTGCGATGGTCTATCGTGATGTGTGAACTCGCGCGTTCTCGTGGAGAACTCATTATTCCAAAATTACACGAATTTCAGTTTATCCATGGCGGCAAAATCTATCACAATTAAAAAAGTAAACAAAACACTATCTCAAATAAATGACTGAAGTTTAAATGAAAATAACATGGCTTTCAAATAAAAATTATTTGAATTTCGAGTTGCAAATCCATAGATAATTAAATGTGAAATTACTGGTTTTAAAAATCTCAAACTTTATAGGTAATGCCCTATTATATCTCCACAAGCAAACTCTTTCTAAAATATATAATTACGATAATGTGCTGGCATTTAGCTTTCGAAAACTGTTAGTCCTACAACTCTCTACACTTTTTACGTCTGCAGCAAAGAAATGGCAGTCAATAATTGCCCAGACAATTAATTAAAACGAGTCCAAGCGTAACTTGAAAGAAATATAAAAAGAAACTTAAGCCAACAAGCGGAGTTACAAGATATTTCATTTCTTTAGGGGTTCGGAAAAACCGTCTCGGAACATGAAAAATCTTTTGGAACTGGTAAAAACCGACATGAGCCGGTAAAAACTCGGAGCCGTTGCCAAGTTTTGCTCGAGCGCTGTTGGGATGACTGGGCGCCTCCCGCGTAGAACGACCCACTCAGTCACGAAGTTTTGGACGAGCCATCATTTATTAGGTGCTTTCGGCTTTTACACGCTTCGGCTGCGAGTTCAGTTGATCTGTATTAATGTGTGTATGTAATGTTAGTAGAATGTAAATTTGTTGTGTATATTTTCCTATTTATTTTCAGTTTTTGTACGTATAAAGAGTGAATGATCATATTTAACTCTGAACAAATGATGAACATAATGATTTGATATTTTATTCATATTTATTGTTTTTCCTACGTCCCTTAGGAATAACCTATTTCGAATTGCTAGTTTCCTTAACTTTTTTTCGGTGAATATCTTTTTCTTATTTTGCATGTTACCGTTTCATCTTCATACCAAATTCGTCTGGTAATTTAGTGTAATTCTAATTATGTCTAGTTAGATAGTTCAAGTTAAGAAATTATTGAATTGTGCAATTGTACTTACATCTAAATTATTTTTGTTTGCAAGCCTGTTGAAAGATATCGTGGATGGGGTCGCAGGCAGATAATTTGTTTAATGACTTTTCTGTTTTATGAACAAACGCACACTCAATATGCACGGAGAATCTAGCTTAACACAAGGTCGAACTTAAATATAAGGAACTACTTATGAGACTATTATTAAACATAAATATATATGCGTTTAATGTTACACCATTTGACTTTTAATATTGTTTAGATAGGTCTTAAAAGTAACACCTTACCGCCAAAAAAACTTAGGCTGTCGAACTCTAATCTAAGTCATTTTGAATGGTGTTAAAGTACCCTTTCGCATCGTTGCATTTTTATCGTCTACCATCAACATAATTGACCAATAGAGTTAACGAACCTAAAATTGGCCAATGACATTTCACTCCAATTTAGTTCATAGCGATCACGAAACACTATAACCGTTTTATTCTATTAAGAGAAAAACAAAAAGAAATTTCTTGGGAGGTTTATGTTGACTTTTATGAATTTGGTTTCACCTACATACGTTTATGATTACTACTCTGTTCCTAAGATCGAAACGTGGTGTTATATAGTCTGTATATAGGTATTGTTATAAATTGGTGTTATATATATATGTATAGTCCGTGTTTTTCTCAACAAATAATGTACCCAATATATTATATTGCATATAAAGAGTATCATTAGAATGTGACTTATAGTTCCAGGTGTTATCCCGGTATAATCATCATCAACAGCCTATAATAGTCCACTGCTGGACATAGGCCTCTCCTTAGAAAGGAGGTTTTGGCCCACTATATCACGATGGCCAGACGGCTTGGTATAGGGTTTGTTTCAAGTTTTCCTTCTCTTTGCAGTGCTGTTGTCCTGCGTAGTTTATTTCTCTATATTCTTGTTTGAGTATTCTCTAAATATTAACGTAATACTACTGATAGAAATATTATTTCAAGGGCGTATCTCTACGCTCAATTTCTTATTAATGCCACCTTCAAAGTTTTCTACATCTAAATTTCAATGTCGGCCTACTTTCTTCGCCATCTGCAGCTCTTTTGTAATAGCCAAGTGGCTTTTACCTGCACTAGATATAGTCTGTGTCTATAAATTATTTTTCGGCATCGTTACTTACTGTGTATTATTCTTGTTCGAGGCTTTTGGACTCGTGGTCTATTGTTGTGATAACATTTTGAGGACAATTGCAAAAGTAGTTTTATAAAATGTAGCTGTTTTAAGATATGGAATTAAAATTGTTGTTAAATAGTTTGTGTGCGCTTCATTTATGTACATCGGTATCCCCGTAGAGGATATCAGAAAATTACCACACTAAAAAATACGAGTTAAAAAGTTTTTTTTTTAAAGTGTAGTAACGTAATTGACCGTCATATTTTATAAGATACCGGATTTGGAAGTATTACAATCGCATTGATAATAATATGTCACCGTTCATCCTTGTTTGCCACCCTTTTGAGAAATAAAAAAACAAAAAAAAAGAGTGATGAATAATATCATACAATACAAAAAAATATCTATATTCTTATCCAATTTTAGATCTATACGATATGGAATAAGGTAGAAATTCAGCTGTTTTCATGTTACAATTCTACTCTTTGCAACGTCACAGTATGTAATTTACTTCTAAAACATTCAAAATTCGAAAAATGTAATGACTTTTTTTCTTTGTTACAGACACAAGAAATGAAACGCAGAAGGAGTTACACATCCGGCGTAGTTTGGTGACGTGTGTCTACGATGTCGTCAGAGGACGTCACTACGATGCGCTATATACTCTTCTGTCTTCTGTCCCTCTCCTTCAACAGGAACCTCGCATTCGTCCTTGATAAACAAAATCCTTATTCGCAATTCCGCAAATGGAACGTCGGTTTGAACGGGACGCTCGAATTAGAATTCAAAACTGACCAACCAAATGGTCTACTTTTGTATACGGATGATGGAGGAACTTATGACTTTTTTGAGCTGAAGCTTGTGAATGGAGCGTTAAGGTTGAGATATAATTTGGGAGGTGGTGCTCAGATTATTACTGTAGGAAACAACCTCAATGATGGACATTGGCATAAAGTTCAGGTAAGGATTTATAATCTAATATATCTAAAAATTTCGTCAACAGCCTTAAATAGTCCACTGCTTGACATAGACCTCTCCTTAGAAAGGAGGTTTCGGCCTACTATACCAAGCTGGCCAGACGGGTTTGGTTCAAGTTTTCCTTCTCTTTGCAATACTGTTGTCCTGCGTAGTTTACTCCCTTAGTCGACTCTTACGACACCCACGGGATGAATAGTGGTGGTGACAGTCTGTATTCTTAATTCGTCACCACACGAATTCTATCTAAAATTTAGCATTTATTTTAAAAAAACAAAGATAGGGTTAGCTGCACCATTTATAAATCAAAAACGGTTGGACCGAGTTTTTTGGATTTTTCTCCTACCCGAATAGCAGAATAAAGTGTGTTAAAATTCATGTAAAAATATTATGAAGAAAATACATTTGCACATACATTGTAAATGAAACCTAACAAGAAAAGAGCTGTACTAGCAATGAGTAATATCGAAATCAAATTTAGTAATATGTAATTTTAATTAGCACTCAAAACAACAATAATTATATTTCGGATTGCTGACACACAACGCCATCTAGTTTTAAAATAAGCAGAGCTTGTACTATAAATGCTAGATTGATTGATAGAATACTTATATACTTTTTATAGAAACCCCGCCGACTACTCTCTATAGGGACACTGTCTCTCAAGAGTCTCACTGTCAAGAGTCTCTCTCTTTCTCTCGACTTCTCTTTAACTTTGTTATAACACCCATGAAAGTTACATATAATTGCACGGGCGGTGGTTTATGCTGTCGCCACTGCTTGCTACTGCGCTTACCGTTGTCGGTTTGATCCCTACAGTGTGTGATCCAGTAATTGTTTTTTGAGTCTGAGTGTTCTTTGTGTCCGTTTTATATTTGTTTGTAAAGTTGCGTGTGATATTGAATATTTTCCTAGTACAGGCGCTGTCTTTTAAAAAGATAAAAGAAAGAAATTAAGAAGCATAACACACTACAATATTGTTAACTACCACACTACACACATATGTTGTAGGGTTTCCTAATTATCGTGTTGTAAGTGGACATCCGGCGAATATTATCATAGCTTATCCCGTTCACACTTGACCCGACGCTGTAATGAAACATGATTAAGGCTGTAATACCTACAGGATGTGGCACTTGCCCGATAGCCATTATACCGGTAATTCTACACGAGTAGAATAGTTTTACTTTAATGCGCACAGTTGCCGCAAACCATATCTTTTGCAAGGATAATTAATCGAAGTATCAGTATACTACTGATGGCTCCAGATCTGTTTTAAATTATATATTTCAGTATATTCTGACAGGAAAACTTGCAGCAAATATTTTTTATAAGTAAAAAACATTGTCGCAAAAGGACAATTAATTACAATTGTTCATACATTTGTATTATTATATATATATATATATATATATATATATTTTAAAAGACAACGCCAGCACTATGAACAAACCATGTGCCGCGGGGGACTTTACAAACATACAAGAAACGGACACAAATGACACTCAGACTCAGAACAACACTTTTTGTGGATCACACAAAGTGTTGTCCCATGTGGGGATCGAACCCACAATACTCAGCGCAGTAGGAAGCGGCAAGGTGACACTACGTTATACGTGCAGTCATGCATAGTACTAGAATAATTATAAAACTTAGGCAGCGATGTATGTACATTCAAAGACATTCAATAATTACACACATTTTTTAAAGTCAAAAAATCTCGACAAAAGAAACAACAAGTGTCAAAGAAATTTTTTCTAATGGTTTTATTTAAATGCGCAATGCTGGATGCAGATAAGTTAAGATGGATACTCCCCGTTAAAGGTACGACAAACTCTAACAAGTTATGAGTTTTGCCTGTACGTTGTTCTCGGAAAGGTATATTGAGAAGAATTGTTGTTTTCATTATAAATAGCCTTCATACATACATGGGTAAATCCCCGAAATAGTAAGAATAGGTGAAAACCCATAACGCTCTTGTGAATATTGAGTTGAAAGTTTCTATGGGTGGTGTTAGTGATTTACTATCAGCTGGCCTGCCTGCTCTTTTGTTATAACATATAAAAGGAGTGGGATATTGTAAGTGTCGGGTGGGTTACAGCAGCTCGATGAACACGGGATTGCGTACTCTTATGTCGGTCCCATGATTAGAGAGGGGGCTAGAGCTCAACATCAACTGAACTAATTAGACGTATATATATATGTATATATACCAATACTGCGACGTCTATACGCAGGCCTGGCGACAATACAATAAGCAAATCAGAATCAGGATGCAAACCAAGAAGCAGAAGCAGAATCAAAACCAGCATGAGGCAGCCATGGCGATCATTTGACTCAGACACCTGGGTATGTGGCACAAATTATGGAATCAATTAGTGGAATAGAAACCATATACCACATACAAGGGGAGCAAACTACACAGAACAATAGCACCGCAAAGAGAAAAAAACTTGAAACAAACCCTATACCAACCCGTCTGGCCAGTGTGGTATAGTAGGCCAAACCCTTCTTTCTAAGGAGAGGCCTATGTCTAACAGCTGACTACTAAAGGCTATTGTTGTTGATGATGAACCACATATGTAATGTAAACATTTTGAGGAGAAATGAAGAGAAATTATTATTATATAGCAGCCCCATGCGACAGGATCACAAAACATCATATCTTCACAAAAAGATATCAGATTCAGACACAAACTGACCGAGATCTATCTGGCATAAACGAAGTCAGAATTTACATGGACGGTTCCACAGGGTCAGGAACTGAAGCTAGCCAACCTTTTCTTGACCATTCTTGAGTCTAAGTGCGGAAGTCGGAGACCTATACCAATATGTCTGTATATATAAATCTCTCCGATTATTTTCTTAACACAAGCTCCGCACTAGTTTTGGATCAGACGGGTATTATTATTAAGGATCGAAAACGTTCATTGAGTAAAAAAACAGTTCACAACGCATCGTGGTAATAATAGAATAACCGCAATGCGTAATTCGTATTATGGTTATTATGCGTATTACGCTTACGACACGTTGTAGCAATCACAGAAATATACCACATCATCGAGGCTCACATGTTATGCGACCACAACGCATTAGGGCAAAGTAATTCAAAGCATTTGCGATATATTCTACTTTTTACAATACCATTATAATAAATAGTACTGAAGTAAAAGGTTTTTTTCTTGTAAACTGTTTAAAAAACTTGTTTCAAGTAAATTGTCTTTTTTTTCTGCGGAAGATGTGACAGTCTCCGGAAAATTCTTCGTGGAAATGACGCCTTCCCGGAGAGAGGCTCTCAGTTTGTTCTTGTGGATTTGTTGAGAATTGGTATTTGTAACGTCTTGATAAACAACACTTTTTTAGAATATAATAATATGATAGAAAATAGGTTTTTTACCTTCGTTATAATTTCGACATCAAACACAGATGTTTTGAATTAAAAAATGACAAATTTGCTTAATAGATCTGATAGACTTCTCTTTTTATTATTTTAATGGATTTGAAAGTATAACCTAAAAGTGTTTTGGTATTCCAATAAACTCTGTTAACACACTCTTAGATAGATAAATCTTTTCACCACATTACAAATATAACATCTTCCTTAACTTTTATTTTATAATCTGATAAGCTCTGAACATATTAAACTGAGTTTAAAATTGAAATCATCCTTGAAAAGTCTTTTTTTGTTGACGGAGTGGATGAATCTGATGGATGTCCTCCGCCCCGGTACAAAGGGGTTCTGTCTGACTCTTTCTAAATTAGAACTAGCTCTCATCATCATCGTTCGAACTTCTAAGAAACGTGCAGGGAAGTGATTTAAAATCTTCAGATATCCGAATTAACACAGACTATTTCGATTGCTTCGTTAGTAGAAGCAACAGCCACAGGTATTATATCTCTCTTTTCCTGACTGATTTACTTTTTCTGCCACAGATTGCTCGCCGTGACGAACTTACGTCCCTCACTATAGATGGCAACACACAGAACAAAACGTCAAGAGGCAAAGAGTTCGTCTTTGGCAAGTTCAACTTGAACTCTGACGTGTTCGTTGGCGGGATACCTCCTTCGTGAGTATTTATTGTTTTTTTATTTTATTATTAAAGTTATCATATTGTGATATGTTTCTAAAAAAAGGTTTACATTATCTGGGGAAACGGCAGTGGCCGCGACAAATGATCAAATAAACAGTAGTGCCGCCTTTTCTCGGAGCAATTCAGGATGTTTTCGACACCTCTTTATGTTTATACTGGATAGAACAAGAAACCTAAATGTTCAGTGTTGAATATGACTTGGCAATTGCACACGGCAATATTTGTGTAGTATGCATACAGGCTCGCTAGTAAAAATAGTGGATTAATCGTATACGATTATATAGCCCTGCAATTCGCAAATTGTTCTATTTAATAATAAAAATGAAGACATCTTATTTCAAGGAATAATTAGATCTTAGTTTTTTTTTGCGTTAAAAGAACTATGCTGTGCAAGTCTTGCACTTGTGCGTTTTATATGTCATGGGATGATATTATCCTAAAATTAAAGGTGTTTTACTAGAGTACGTGTAAACTAAATATTTGAATATGTCTTAATTAGAACATACTTATTATTAGCCTGATTTAAATGTTTCTATGAAATCGAATTATTCGTGTGCTAACTTTTCGTATATAGTAATTGCTAAGAAGATAATATATGTGTAAAATGTATAAATATAACATTTGATGCTTCGATAAAGACCCTACTCTAACTTACTCTTAACTTATGAATACTCTTATAAAATTTTTTAGCACCTTGTAACTTATCGATGGACAATAATGACTTCACGGATGGCGTAGTGGTTTAAGCGGTCACCACGCCGCTTCCTACTACACCGAGTGTTGTGGGTTGAAACCCCACATGGGACGACACTTTGTATGATCCACGAATTCTTGTTCTGAGTCTGGGTGTTCTTTGTGTCCGTTTCATGTATGTTTGTAAAGTCCCCCGCGACACAGGATTTATTCCTAATGCGGGAGTTGTCTTTTTTAAAAAAGATAAAAGATAAATAAATATTATTTATCAGAGTAATACAACGTAATAACTTGAATCTGGACCTATATGTAACCAGACAATATTCGAAAACAGTACGTAATTACCTCAAATACATGGATTATTTTACCTCTACTTACGAAAACCAATTACTCTGTACTTTATTTATTTGTTCAAAAGTGTACGAAACATTTTAATTACACTCCAATCTAATTGACGGTTAAGTTCTCGACTATTACAATATATTTTGGCCCTCTCTCTCTGACATTCGTTGGTTTTGTGTAAAGCTTGAATACAAAGCAGCCTTGGACATTTAAATGACAGCAGTCTTTATTGCCTACAACCAACAATATTTTAAACAATTTTGATGACCGTACAATAAAAATAAAATTGTTTGTGATACTCTGGTGCCCACAGGCAAATTTTAAAATTTCAAATATATTTTTGCACATTAAAATTATAAGCTACAGTTACGTTGTGATTGTAAAGAAAAAACATTTTTATGATTATAAATTTTATATACATACATGGATTTGTAAGCATAATATATGTGTCAGCGTGTGAATACGAGTATGTTGGTTTCCGTGTGGGTGAGAGCGTGGGTACTTGCACCGATAGAGCTGTTATATTTATTTACTTATTAAAAACAATTTCAGTGTCTTTACAGGATTTATCCCAAAACGATACTGTAAGTTAAAACAGTAAGTAACAGTTATTTATACATAAACATCATTTGCTGTAATACATCACTGGGCGACTTCTTTGAAGTTCGTCAGGCTACAGTTGTAGATATCTACTTGTATTGAAATAATATTAATAAGCCTTATGGCGCGTGATATAGGAGCATATCGAAGTAAATTTGTTCGCGTTACGTTCGTTATATGATATGATAATCGTAGAAATGCTTGTTGAAGGGATTCGTGGTCCTGCACAGGGCAGCTGATTACAAGGAAATAGGCCACTACTTCAAAAGACTACACATAAAAACAGTATTAGCATAGTTAAGTGTGGTTTTAGGATAAAGAAATAAAGTAATAACTAATAATGTTAATAACTCCCCGCACAACCAATCTGTGGAACGGGTTATCGTCTGCGGTACTTCCGGACCGATACGACCTTCAAACTTCAAGAAAAGAGCGTACCCCTTCCTAAAAGGCCGGCAACGCGTTTGTGACTCCTGAGTTGCAGACGTTCATGAGCGGCGATGGTCACTTTCCATCAGGTGACCCGTCTGCTCGTCTGCCCTCCTATAACATTAAAAGAAAAGTTTGCTTAAACCATTATTTCGAAAAAATGGGATAATTTGTTTTATTTGAGAGAATATATCTTCAGATTATAAAATTAAAGAACAAAAATATATTTTTCCACCAATTCTTTTTTATTTAGAAAGCTTTGTATCATCGCTGAGAATTGATGAAATTTTAAATGCTAATTGAGACATGTTTTTCTCATAAATATTTGCAAAGAATTATAACCTCAAATACATAGCTACTCCTTCAACGTATGTAAGCACACACACGCGCCCAAAATGTCAAATTACCATGTAAATTCATAATTCGAGTTACGACTTCAATTTTCCATAATTTCATAAAACTCCACGGGGAATTACCCAATACTCTTCCTCGTTCCTCGTATTGAAACTTCGCAATATTATCGACTATTCACAAAAAAAACTTTTCAGAACAGCCTATTACAACAATCTGTGCTCTCGGCGACCGCGTAGATTTACCCGTCAGACCTCGTATTTTACCGATAGGATCTCTTTCATCTGTTGTTCAACATGCAAATCTGAAACCTAAATTCTAGATAGGAAAGTGTACATTCGAGTAGATGGAGTAGGCTGCATTCAGGGAGCAAGGGTGTTATCCGGTTAATTGGCGTGTCGAAAATGTGAGTATAATTATGTTTGAGAGCAAGCGCGGTGAGTTGTTGATATTCATTCTTGGGTAAGTTGGTACCGTGGGGCTGTATCAATAACTTTTGTACTGCCTCGGTAGTGCAGTGGTAGCGTATGCGACTGCTGTGCTCAGGTCTCGGGTTCGATTCTCGGGTCGGATCAAATGTTTGTATGATCTGCAAATAGTTGTTTCGGAGTTTGGGTGTTTTCTATGTATAATATGTATGTATTTACGAAAAAAGTATATAAGTATTTTATTAATCAATCTAGCTTTCATAGTACACACTCTGCTTAGTTTAAAACTGGTTGGCGCTGTGTGTCAGATGTCCAAAAATATTATTATATAGAATAGAATAAAAAAAATTCAATTCATTACACGTGCTCATTAACTAATTACCTGATTAATAATATGTAATAATAATACAATAATATTTCTCACACACGGCGATCTGATCCCAAACTAGGCAGAGCCTGTACTATAGTAACCAGACTGCTGATAAACATACTTATATATTTCTAAATACATACATATTATAGATAAATTACACCCAGACACAGAACAAATGACCGTGCTCATCACACAATTATTTGTTCTGGGTGGGAATCGAACCCACGACCTCTGGCGTAGCAGTCAGGGTCACTAATCACAAGACCAACAGGCCGGTCAAATGTTATTGTTGTATTGCTTGATAATGTGGAGGTAAAGAACACATACTGAGAGAATCTAGAGAACTGTATTACATGAATATATTATAGGATCCCGAAAGGGATGTTGACAAATTTTAGGAACTATATTTATTTGATAACTAGAACACTAACACACTAAAACATTCTCATCTGCCGCATGATGTTTACCTTAACTTACTAACCTATAAACCGACAATGCTCCATAGAGTGATTTTAATTTATATTTTAGGTAGTTAATAGTACGATACTAACTCACAAGTGTCGGCTTGTTTATCTCTTAATTACGTAATAGATCTGGTGTCTGTTTGCCTTTGTCTTCACCGTCAGTTTCCGTCAAGGGAGTTGAAAATTAATGCCTAATCCAATTTTTTAGCTTTTATTTTTGGCCTGTGTTGTTTTACTTCAGGGCAAAGGCTTCCCTATCTCGTTTCCACATCTTTTTGTTATGTGCTAATTCAGACCAGTCTTTTCGGAAGTCATCTAGATCCACCAGAGCCTACCATGTTGTCGTTTAGCACCTTGTGGGACCCAAGTTTTACTCATTTTTACCCAAAGATCCGATCCAGTTCCACTAAAGTTCTGTGACTGTATGAGTGACATCTGTGATTTGTGTTTTGTAGTGTGATACCTCAACAACGAAGGAAAAAATATATGCTTACTTCCTTACTTACTTCACAAACAAACAGACATACTTCAGTTTTCTGAGAACAATTTTGATAATAATACCTGATTCACAACACGGCTACGTAAATTATATAACCATCCATACTGATAATCGGATTAAGAAGTTCCTTTGAAATATTTGCTGAATTCGTGTAAAAAGATCACAGCAGTCTGTTACTTCAGTTCCTCGTATTTGCTTCCTTTACGTAAATTTCAGCAGAAGCATTAGGAAGGAAAATATTGACTAATCTGCTTGTAGAGCCTGCAAGCAAGGTACGCTTTGATTAGTACGAATAATTTGCTATCTAAGCTCGTTATGGACTTACGGAAATATGAATCATAATAAATGTCAAAATATAAATTTAGTGGCAAAGTTGAAAGAATTTCGTTTGAGGCTATTTATAATATCTTTTGATGCTGCTGAAGAGGCAGCGAACCTATATACAATATCGTATATACAATTTTATCAATGCTGGGATCTCACGATCGCCAGTTAACATCGGAGGTGGGTTCAATGCCAGCACAAATTTGTGATGTGATGTGTCATGAGCACGATAATAAAATAAAGTCTAAATCAACTGTAACTAAAATGCGCCTACTTCCTGTTTACTCTGCATCACCCAATGGTTGACTGGTAGAGAATGCCTTAGGCATTAAGTCCGCCAATGCACCAAATGTGCATGATGTGTAAATAAATAAATTAATGGTTTCATTTAAGTTTGGGTGTAGGTTTCCTATAATATGTTTTTTATAAAAAAAGCTAATTACAGGTAGGTAGGTTGTTTAATCATGAAATAATGCT